ACAGGTGCTACATCCGCAGTGCTAACCTGGTGACAACGTCCAGTCTGACCCACTTTGGTAGGAGGCAGGCCATTGCTGCTGCATCTGAAGAGTGGCTGGCTGGCTGGCTGGCATGCCCCACAGGTCTCCAGGGGAAGCAGCAAGAAGGTGCCCTACTGAGCGCCTCCATTTGCAGCCGTGGCATCGCTCTGCTAGCCCTCTCAGCCAGCCTCCCTGCCATCCTCCATCCCCATTAACTGCACAGACAGGCTGGTACCCAGAGCAGGCTGGGTCAATACTAAACCGATTAGCAGAGCCCAAAACCCAACTGTCGGCTACTTCCTTCCTCTAAGCACCAAAGCAAAACCCAAAGGTGCAAGGCAGGCAGGAGACAGACAAGATAGGAGGGGAAAGGAAGAGAATAGCTTCTGTATTGTGAGAGCTCTTTCTGAGGCAGAGAAAAGAAGCAACCTGTCTCTGGGTGCCATGCAACCCCCCTCAGAGAAGGCAGCCCAACCTCAAGCCATCATTTCTTTCCTTTTCGGGAAACAAAGACTGGCACTCTTTACTAAAAGACCACCAGATCTAGCCCTACCAGCTATGATGACAGAACTTGTCTTCTATGGACAGGAGGAGAAATTATGGGGCACTGGACTCTGTATTCTTAGCCCTCGCATCTTGCCTCCTCCCTGTAAAGCAACGCTTCTTTCTGCAAGGGTCCAGTGGAAGGATGTGCAGCGATCTGCCAAGCACAATGCTTGTGGCATTACTTTGGCCAGTGTTTTTTACTCTGTTACAAAACAAGTGGGTTTGTCCCAGTGAAATGCAATCAAATCAATCCCCAGCATGGCCAAAAATACACTTTTCAATTTTTGAAAACCTCAAGGATCTGTTGAAGAGGAAAAATCATAAGGCCAGGATAGAGCCAAAGATGCTACAGATGGATGGCTCAACTTTGCTGCCTGGGAGGGTGGCGCAGTCTCCTCCTTTTAGGGCTTTAAAGAGGCTGGATAGCCACTGGCTACAGGGAAGGCTTGGATGGCGTCTTCCTCCATAGCAGATTGGGGTTGGACTGGATGGCCCTTCCAACTCTAGGATTCTCTGTATTACTGCATGGCAGAATGGGGCTGGACTGGGTGGCCGCTTAAGGTCCCTTCCAAACCTAGGATTCCAAGAAGTCTGCTGAGACACAAAGATGTTGTAAGCTCTTAAGTGATTTCAAGTTAAGTCAAATGTGTACAAAACATTCTGAGCCATGTCCTGAAACGTCCTGACACATCCTGCTGACAAAGGAGGCCAGCTGGAACACCAATATGAGCTACTAAGAACAAGTGTGACATAAATATTTCAGAAATAGTGCTTGCACCTTATTGGTGGGTGTGTAGGACTGTCATAGCCTTCAGTTGCTCAATTTCTGCCACTATGTGGTTTTGTAAGAATTCTATACAGACTTAACTGCCTGCTTGCAAGCAGATCCTGAGCAGATTGCCAGACTCCGTTTGGTGTCTGACACCTATCTAAAGGAACTGCAATGCTCAGTCAACCTAGAAGACTCTATTCATTCATGGTTAGTTTTCTCCTACACTGGTCTTAGTGTCTTCAATTGTTGTACTCTCCTTTTTTTGAGGCTCCTGTATAGGACCCACAGCATCATATGGTCCAAACATCTGCAGCACTTTTAAACAACATGCTGGTCCAACAAGTCTCTCTTCTTCTCCAGCTCCCATTTGGTGGAAGCAACATGGGCTACAAACACTGCAGCCAGTCTGCAAGCACTCCCCTCTGTGTGTTTGGGTGCAGAAGGCTCTTTTTCACTTGTCCCAAAAAGCACACAAGGTTCAAATGTTTCACGCCTTGCAGTCACTGCAACTACTGAATTAAAATCAGTGCGCAACTTTGGCGTGACCCAACTCAGACATGCAAGGAGGAGGTGGCAGTAAGACAGGGCTCTCATGTCTCCTTGGAGCCCCTCTAACTCTAATACCCAGCAGACACATCACTCACCATGAGAACAGGAGCATGTCTTTCCTTTCCCACATTTTGGAAGAAACAAAGAAGATCTGCAACATTCAAGCAGCAAAGGACCTCCCTGACTGAGCTGGACTTAAGCCCAAAATAAATTGTTGGTTTTGTGCACTTTCAAGTCGTTCCCAACTTATGGCAACCCTAAGGTGAATATCTTGAGGCTTTCTTGGCAAGTTTCTTCAGAGGGGATTTGCCATTGCCATCCTGAGGCTGAGAGAGTATGACTTGCCTAAGGTAAGCCAGTGGGTTTACATGGCTGAGCTGAGATCCAAACTCTGGTCTCCAGTGTTTCATCCAATACTCAAACCACTACACCATACTGGCTCTGTTCCAACCCAAGTGATCAAGATAGAATATATAACAAAGCTAATTATTATTGTTCTGCTAAGAACAATATTTTGTCTTTTGTTGCATGCCACAACCTTTTCTAGGGCAGTGGATGTGAATTCCGGATCAGCCAGCACCAAGAGGAAGCATGTTCCAGGAGCTGTCAGGGAATGCATCTCCATCATGCATCAGAAAGAGGTCTCTAGGGGCCATTTAATAAAAGCCAGAGCGTCTCGGTGCCAAGATATTACTGGCAGCTGAAATAGAAGTTGAGTGTCTTCCCATCAGCACATTACGAGAGAGTAATGGGATAAGGATTCTTTAAGTCCATCTGGGTGGGAGAGTATGCAGGCGTTCCAGAATAAAACATACGTGTCTTGGAAGCCAGCGTGGTGTAGCGGTTGAGTACTGGACTATGACTCCGGAGGCCAGGGTTCAAATCCTGGCTCAGCCATGTAAACCCACTAGGTGACCTTGGGCAAGTCACACTCTCTGAGTCTCAGTATGACAATGGTAAACTCCCTCTGAAGAAACCTGCAAAGAAAACTCTGTGCTAGGGTTGCCTCAGCGTTTTCATAAGTCGTGAATGACTTCAAGGCACACAACAACAAACTTGAAGTTTAGAACCTAGGCATATCCTACAGAGATTCGAGGTGGGTCCCATGCTGTTCAGCATTTTGGTTAATGATGTGGGCAGCAAATGGAATAACAGAAGGACACACACCTGAAGACTACACAGAACTGTCTAAAGCGGAAAGTCAAGAGGTCAGTGGAGAGAGAAAGAGGGTGCATTGGGACCAACAGAAGGCAAAAGGAGACTTCAGCAAAGTCAGAATGGACATTCTGAGGTCTTTCCAGATTAACCATCCCGGCCCAGGCTCCCTGATCCCCTCATTCCTCCCGTGGCCCCATCTTTAGTGATGGTTGAGGATCTCCAGAGGGACATCAGGGTTTTTGTTTTAATTATGGTTTTATGTTTTGATATTGTGTTTTTAATTTGTCATATTATTTAATACTTTCTTAAGCGGGGGAGGGATTATAATATTTTAATGTTATATTTTAATCTTGTTATATTTACTGTTGTCAACCGCCCAGACTGGTTCGCCACAGGGCGGTATACAAATAAATATTATTATTATTATTGTTGTTGTTTTGTTGTTGATGTTATTATTATTATTATTATTATTATTATTATTATTATTATTATTATTATTATTATTATTATTATTATTGGAATGACGTTCACTGAGGCAAATGGCTGAGAGGACCACTGGCAAACCACCAAGGCCTCCCTCTACACAGGAAACCAATAACCACATAAATACATACAGTTGCCCCTCCATTCGCACGGACTTGAGGTCTGTGGTTTTGAATATTCACAGAGGGATAGCCTTTATTAAGATCAATGGGGCGTGCATGCAGGGATGCGCCCCATTCAAGCCTATGGGGCTTGAGTATCGGTGAGTCTCCGTTTTTGCAGATTCCGGAACAGATCCCCGCGAAAACGGAGGGCCGACCGTGCATACATACGTACATAGTTTGGCTGCCAATAGGCTTCTTGTTGGAAGGTGCTGCTGATGACACTTAAGGGCCTATTAATATTATTCATTCACTTATATCACATCTAGTATTTCCAAACACGGGGATCCAAGGAAACTTAGAAAACAAAAACAAAAATGAAGGCAGATTAAAATGCTGTACATACAAAGGCATCAGTGTGAGAAGAGATGAAGTCTAGCAGATATAGCCAGTTCCTCTCCTCTCCTGCAGCGGCCATTGGAATGGTCAAACGGATCAGCTTTAAAATGCCCCCTCATGTGACTTTAAACCCTTTTACTTTTTAAATCCTTTTTCTAATCTGCTATGGCTGTTGCATATGTTTGATGCATATTTTGGGTCCCAATTTTAGGAGAAAGGTGGGGGATAAAAATAAAATTTTATCCCCCAGCTTTTATTACTTTTCCAGGCCTTGCTAAAGTGATCTAATCTGTCTGTAAATTGTAACTTCCAGTCTTGTGCCTGAAGGAAAAGATGGTCCTTCATAGATACCCTATTGCTGTGAAGATTTTTTTTCTTAGAATAAAACCTTTTCCTTTAAATACACAAACACATAGTGTTTTGTTATACACTGTTATTTTAATAATCTCAAATCACTTTCATTTGTAGACCACCCTGAGATCTTGTGATAAAATGGGGTAGGAGATTGTGACTGTTTTAATTAATAAATGAATACTGCTATTTACACCTTGCCTTTTGCCCCTAAAATGGGCTCTTGGGACAACTAATAGTGCTTTGGTTTTGTTAACTGCCCCCAAGTTGACTGCTGTGGATGAGACATTTCATAGAATCACAGAATCATAGAGTTGGAAGAGACCCCA